CGTCAGAATGTAGCAAGATTCTTCAAATCAGCAATGCAAGGCCATTCAGTGAGTGAAACTCAGTGGCTCTTTTGCATTTTTATCTACCAGAAGGCACATTGAAAAGAAAAGAAAAATATCAGTTTCAGAAACTAGTAAACTCCATACACCCTTAGATGTGCAATTCAAATTAAGAACACTGTTTGCAACATCAACCAATATGATGTTAGTCCTGAACATGGTCCCACAATAGCTTGGCTGGTACTGCAAGCTGCATTTCAATTATGATATATTCAGCAAGATATTTTACGTAAACCAGAACTTATAGCCATTTTCCTACCTGAGCAATAATTAGTACTGCTTATTGCTTGTGAAACCTTTCAACTTGGTGGGAGTAATTGCACATTCCCTTTTTTTTCTCCGACCCCAGTTTTTTAGAAATGTATTTCAAATTGCAAGTTCCTTCCAAATGTTCTTTTTCAGAATGCAAGTAGGCGATAGCAAGGCAGCATTTCAGGCGCACTCACTAAGCAACCTCAGCTTTACCTGCCAGCATTATGAGCTCTGAAGTTTTGATACATGAGAGTTTAGCTGTATTATGCTGAGGGTGCCATGTTTTACTCCATTTCAGCTACAATAACTGCAGTCTAACGTGGAATGCTCTTTTCGGCATGAGATCAGACTTTCATTACAGCGAGTGACTGCTTAAGCACCTGCATTTGCTGTTAGCTTTGAGGTTCAAGAGGATCATAATCTTCAGAATAAGCATCTTCTTAGGATGACTTCACAGCTATTGAACAGCTATTCAGATCAAGCCCACCATCTGATCTATCTGTCTCATATAAATGCTCTTCAAAGGCAGCAGGTATCTTCTCTCATCTGGTACTCTGTTACACTGTAAACAGACATTTTTTAAGTTGAAATTGCGGATTCTCACATTTTCTAAAGTTCACTTTGGCAAAAGCCACCTGTCAAAAAAAAAGGATCTACCTGAAAAAGACCAGATGCTCAAGTACTACTTGCCATTAGAAGGTTCTCTGTCCAAAACTTCTCAAATGTGCAAATATTTTACATTTTGAGGTTATTCAAAGACACCTGCATCTTTAGAAATGGAGTGGGGAAACCGTCCACAATACTGAAAGGTTTCCCTCTAAAGCAACACAAAATTAATTACACTGACTTTCACAAGGAATAAATGTTATTTAATTGAAATGATCTAGAGCAAATAATCAATTCAACATATCTGTACTGCTTGTCAGTTATATAGCAATATAGAAAAAAAATAATTAAACATGGTTGTCCCTGTTGAATAGAGTATCATTCTGACTAGCCAATCTGCTTCCCACCCACCTCCATCTTCTTCAGATTAATTTAAATATTACTTCTCCCCTGGAAAAGGGTATATGTTCCCCCCTTGCTAAATAAAAATTGGTAGATTTAAAATCCAACTAGAAAACAACTGAATACACTTTTTGTACCTACATTAAGATAGACAACTTCAGTCAGGGGAAAAGTTGCTTTAGCATTTGAGCAGCATGGTGGGACTCCCAAAAAAGTGACAGAAAAGAATTAATATTAATTGAAAGTTAAATATGTAATATTTAACTTTCATTTAATTAGGTGACTGCCCCCTTTCCTCATCATACATGCATACATATACTTTGATTTGCCTTATATACATTATAAAGAAAGAGAGACAGAGGGAAAAAGCAGGATCCTTCCCTTTCAGTCTTGCAATGAAAGACTGGAAATTTGCACTACAGTCCTCAAAAAAGGGATGTGAAGTTCAGACTACCCCATCAACTGTCCTATGAATGTGAATACTGCTGGCATTTCAAGAGGAAATAGAAATATATTAGGGCCACACACACTTCGAGAATGTTTCAGTCTTCATGCAAACACTGCTCCTCTCTGCTATTCATTAAAACAGCCTCTTTTTTCAGATTTCAACAGAAGTGTGAAAAAGTCAGGGAACTTTTACAAAGAACAAAAAGCTGCTGTGTGTCCAGAGTCCTTCTAAATCATTTCAAAGCATGCCCAATGCTAGAATTTATACGCTAAATAATAGAAAATCTGCTTACACCAGTAAAGCAATAGTAATTCTTATAACTTATTTAATTCACCTTGCAGAAGTTGTTTATAGGTGTGTTAGATTTCTATTACACCTTTTCATTCACAAATTCAAGGCAGAATACATAGCGTTCCCTCCTATTTTCGCCTACAATAACTATCTTGTGAAGTAAGTTAGGCTGGGAAAGAATGACTAGCTCCCAAGTCAACTAGTCAGCTTCTGCTTGACTTCTAACCATTACACCACACTGGCTTGAGTACCATACGGAGCATGCATAAACATGGAGTGCTAGGTGATCGAGACTGCCTCTAGAATAAACATGTTAGATTCTAAGGAGAACTAGGCCCATATTTAGGCTTCAAGTATACCCTCACAATTCCATCAACTTTATTTTCCTGCTCTTTCCTGTCCTAACTATTTCACACTGTGTCTGGCATTATCAATGTCAGGGTGGAAATATATTTGCTACCAAGAAGAACAGCAATGAATTCACACAAGCCTATTAAAGAGTTTTTCAGACAACTGCTGTACGAAACTTCTAGACTCAAACTACGTAAGGTACTGGCCTATACTTACATTAGAAGTGGAATTGTTTGCTTTTAGTTCATTTGGCTTTATCTTTCCAGGTTTCTTCTGCTCCTCAGGGAAAGTATTTTGCCACACTGAAACACGAAGGCGCTTATCCAGTGATACTATGTGTCCTTCTGTAGTAAACATGTACTTATTGCCTGATTTGTGCACAGGGTTCTCTTCATCAAACAGCTGAAATTTAAGGGGCAAAATATATAAATGTAATGCTCCAAATGTGGCAATAACATTATTTATTTATCAATATTTATTTCTCATCTTACTCCAGAGACTGCAGGAGGTCAACATCCAAATAAAAACTCATTAAAACAATCAAATAATAATAATAAACAGTGGACCATTTAATTAGCTGCTGCAAGAAGATCGCACAGACTGACTACAAACAATGGCATGATAAAGTAGCAACAATGGTGCACTGGAATATCTGCAAGAAATACCATTTGCCTGCAAGCCAGAACTGGTGGGGACACAAAATAGACAAAGTAACAGAAAATGAAGAAGCTAAAGTGCTCTGGGACTTTAGAATTCAAACAGAC